ACAAACAATGTGAATCGTAAAAGACAGCGGCGAGAGATGCGGTATACACCGCTTCAACATAACTTTCATTGCCTGATAAAACGCCCGTGAAACGGAAAGCATAAATTAAAATTCACGATTTATAATAGACTGTTAATCTCAGGATGCGTGGACTACTTCACCAATACTTAAAAATAGTATGGCTTTTCATTAGGTATATGTTTCTAAAGTATAGGGGAAGAAACATATACTAAATTCGAGCCCCGCGGCGGGCGACATTGATGCGCTCCCCGGTTTGGATAGTTGAAAAGGGAGGTTACACGATGTGACTTATTAAAGTCTCCTTATTTAAGTATATATATATATATATATAGCAATTTAGGCCAACAACCCCATGTATATAACCCGCAGCAAGACCTTAATGTTGTATAATAGCAGCACAGCTGTCAGTGATGCACTATCGGCATATGTCTTTACATCATCACATGTAATACAATTTGTGCGAACAGGATAAATAAAATAAATAAAAAAAAAGAAAGGGGGGGAAAAACTCTGTAATTGATTAAGAGTTGAGCTAAAGCAAGGATTGAGCATATAATATTGTCAGTACAATGGTCAACCCACGAAATCGTTATTAAATTGGGCAATCTATAAAACACTGAAACACAGACACTCGCGGCAATGTATGTGGCCGGTAATTTATGGGAGACTTGATTATTATTAACATTCCCTTCAAATAGGTAATAAACATACAACATTTTATTTAAACAGTTGGAATAGCACCATAAGGCAAATTATGTATGAAATAGGTAACAGAGGAGACAAGAAAATTTCTCTAGATATTTATTTAAATATCTTAAAATTTGGGAACATGTCTAAACTGACGAGATATGCTATTTACATAGTAAAATTTAGATAGAGGTGACCTGAAGTTACTTTATAGCCCTTTAAGGCCCATGCGAAATCTAGGTTGGCTACTACACAAAAAGGGGGGGGAACCTAGATCTCCATCTATTCTAGCGGGACAAAATATACGAACCCTAACACTCCTTTTTAAGTCACTTAAAGCCCTTTAGGGCCCATTCAGAATCTAAATAGATTAGCTTCTGTTCAAAAAATAAAAAGGGGGGGCTAAGCCATAATGGCAAGGGGCTTACCTTCTCTCGAAAGCGGCGGCAAGGTCTGGTCTCCTCTACGTCTCAGGCCCGTCTAAAAATCGTCCTTCTCACTGAGCGACTCCGATCGAATCCTCCCTTTTGGCAAAGAACCTTCTTTTATATCATCTCATTCTCCATTTTCATTCGCCGAAAGAAACACCAATCAAAATGGCCAACGGCTCCAGTATCAATTTCATAGACGCCCCAGGCCTCTCCCCTTCAAAATAGAACATATAGTATTACCAAAACAAAAAAAAATCTAAAGAGAAAAACAACCCCTGCGGTAGTGTAAGATTTCAGACTCCAGCCTCCCGTCTTTCCACATGGGTTGAAATACAACCCTCCCTTTTTCTCGGGATGGTATATATATCGCCCCCCCGTCTTGGCTAAAATTGACCCAGGCCCTTTTTACCTGGACTGTAATGTGATGCTTTCCTTTCTCTGGAAGGATATTTTATAAGTTTCAGTCTTTAGAGATCTTCCTTCTCCATTTTTCTCCTTTTTTTTTTTTTTCTGGTCACCTTTACCTAAATTTTTGGTGAGGGGAATATATGTACATATGAAACAACAGTTTCCAGCTCGGATGTCTCTGGATGTCTTCTTCTTTACCAGGCATCAGCTTTCGGCATGGAAGTCTGGTGTCACCAAGTGTCTAAGTTTCTGGGCAAAAAAATGGTCTGTAAGTCTATGTGGGAGGGAAGCCATGTATCCATTTGATTTGATTATACATACGCCTTCTGTTGGGGTATGGTTACAAAAACGTGCCCCAACACATAGTCCATGATTGTCCATACTATCGCTACACCATAGCATCCTACATATCATATTAATTTGTAAATAACCAAATTACCCCCCACTCTCAAATAATTTTCGGTAGGATTCTTCTTTCAAAGGGTGTAAATATGACATATTATAAAATCACATGTTAAAAATGTATCTATTATAGATATCTATTTCTAAAAATATGATCTGTGAGGAAGTATAAGTGCATAAATCTCATGTATTTGATCATCATGGGCAGATTTCTTCAAGGCCGTCTTTACGCAGGTTGTTCTTAGGTTTTCCTCAAACCTTCTTTCCTTTTCGACTTACTTCTCGCGGGATTTTGCTCCTATATGCGTTCTTATCACTTGTCACTACCACTACTACATCGCAAATAACCACATACTAACAACATAAATACGCTCCAAGAACCTGGGATAATAAAATAGACTAAAATTAGCTTTTTATTACCAAATTTATTGATAATATTAAATTAAATAAATCACTTCATATAGAGAGTAAAGTATCGTATTGCATATGTTTACATATACATATTACATATACTTATGTAATACATAATGCTTTTTTTTTAAATTACATTAAACAAATTATAATTAATATAAATTATAAATATATTAAATATTCCTGAATATAAGCTATTATATAAAGTGTCAATAACTTCTAAATATTTAATATACAAAAAGCGCAAACTGAATTTATTAAAAATATAATTCAATTTAAATATATAATTTCAAAGTTAAATTTCTTTTGACCCTTTTAAGCGGTGTTTAGATTCTTTGATGCCATCAAAGCAAATTGACTGACGGGGAAAAATATTTACCACCCATTTAAATACATAAAACAAAAATGACTTTAAATTTAAGAGAAAAGCATATAGGTAAGGCACGAATGCCTATATATATTTATGAATATTAACACATTATTTAAATTACATAGATGTTAAGAATCATTAAAATATGTTTGTGTTATTTATTTATTTTTGTGTACATATATTCTTCATGTTTAAAATAATTCTTTTAAAAATATTATATGTTGATATTTTATACTGATATCTCAAATATAATGTTTCACATTTATAAAATGTTTTTAAATTCATTATATATCATAAAGTACTAAATTTTTAATCCCGATCTAACATCTTCCGAAAAGTTAAAAATTCACGTTTTTAAACTATAATCTGACTATAATAGACATAAAAAAACATAAAACAATTATAATGTAAAAATACTTTTAATTAAAATAATATCCTAAATTAGAGAGTGAACATTATGCAACATTTCACAATAGATCCAAATATCTTGTGAGACAATGTTTTATATTTTTAAAATATATTCATAGAGAATGCAATCTTGATTAATTTTTAATTTCTCAATAGGGCATTTAAAAAGGCTATGTTAAAACAACTAAGATTTACCTGTTTATATATTCCTTCCCTCTCTTGACAAAGATAAAAAATATATTCAATATGTTTAACATTAACAATTTATTATATTGGGCAAAAACATATCAACTATATATAAAGGTGATGAGGCACAATTTGGAATATAGATTTTTTCTTATCCCTGGTACACATAATACAGGCCATGATAATCATGGTAGGTAGTTAGCGACTGCTTTTTACTTGTAAGCACACCACATGTCTACACATGTAAAAAGCAGTTAGACTTTACACTTACAAATTTTCCAGAGCCCCGTTTGGTTACTTGCACTCACTGGTGGGGTTGGACTTTTGCAAGAATCGGGGGCCATTGGAGCATTTTTTTTTTAAACAGAAAAAAGTGTCCAATGCGGGAATCGAACCTGGGTCGTAGTGGTCGAAAACCAAACGGTTTAACCAGCCTTCCACCGACCCCCGGAATATAGATTATAAACACAAGGTAATAAGACCAAATCTAAATAAATAAATAGTGTGTGATGTTTCGGTAACAATGCTGTTACCGAAACATCACACATTATTTATTTGGATTTGGTCTTATCACCTTGTGTTTATATTTAAGAAAAGAAACTAGCAAAATTATTTCTTCTATCATATATGAATATATCAAAACGATATTTTTCAATTTTAAACACACATTGGAACTATATGCTTAAAAATAACGTCTAGTATATTTGATAAGGTACAATTTGGATTATAGATTATAAACACAAGGTAATAATGGCAAATCCATGAGGAATAAATAGTGTGTGACATTTTGGTAACAGCATTGTTACCATCTTCATTTGGATTTGGTCAGATTCAGTACTTTTGTCTGAAGATGTCAACAACTCTGTTACCAAAACGTCATACACTATTTATTCATTTGTATTTGGTCTTATTACCTTGTGTCTAGTATATTTAAAGCATTCTACCATATTTTAAATAGATAACAAATAATGTGAAAATATAGAATATTAATGGGCCTTTAAAATGAACCGAGTCTCATGGTATCCATTAAGATGGATCCACTGACATTCATACGACACCATCTACAATCCATACAGTAGAACCTCCATGAGATTTGTATTTTGTTTTCTCATGTAGAAGGGGAAAAACATACAAGTCGGTGGACGAGAGGGTAACACCCTCGATTCCCGACAGTCATGAACCGGGATTTAATCCCGCGTTAACATTTTGTTTAATATGTGAACAACCTTCACATATTATTCATTGTTTCAATTATCATGAACTAGGTTGGTCTTGCTGAGCGGTACCTATTAATGTGATTTTGAATCGATGTAGAAGGGCTCTTGTGCTCGAAAGCTAAAGAATTGTTAATTTAAACTTTTAAAAGGAAACCTATCCCTGGAATATGAAAAATAGTACTCTCACATTGTTTGGCATTCTCACACAATTCTGGCCTTAAATACCTGTTGCATGATTTCTCAGGATGCCTGAATGACTAGTTTTTTTGGTCTTTGAGATACAGCTTGTACCATGCTGATGAGGACCAACAGCCCAAAATGTGTATGTGGTTAGATTTTCTTGATTAATCAAGAATGGGTATTTGGCCAATCTACTTATATAATTACTTATTCTGTCTGTGTGAAGTTCACTGTTGAAGTTCACGGATAGATTTTGGTCAGAATGGATAAAATAAAAAAAGTGTCAAGGGATGGGAATCGAACCCACGACCTTCCGCTTACCGGGCAGATGCCATGACCACTAGGCCACATGACCACAATTTATTTATTTATTATTATTATTTTTTTTGCTTATCCCTAGTACACGTGGTACAGGCCATGATAATCATGGTGGGTAGTTAGCGACTGCTTTTTACTGTAAGCGCACCACATGTCTATACATGTGAAAGCAGTTCGACTTTGCACTTACAAATGTGCCAGAGCCCCGTTTGGTTACTTGCACTCGCTGGTGGGGTTGGACTTTTGCAAGAATCGGGGGGCCATTGGAGCATTTTTTTTTTTTAAACAGAAAAAAGTGTCCAATGCGGGTTCGAACCCGGGTCGTAGTGGTCGTAAACCAAACGGTTTAACCAGCCTTCCACCGACCCCCCTCCCACAATTTATAATTGTAACAAATAGTATTTGAATCAAAACATTCAATCGAGTAAAACACGGGCGTTGCCCGGGTCATTCGGCTAGTTCTAGAATAATTAAAAATCAACTATTAGTTGATGTTATTCTGACAAATGGCGCACGTCATCAGCAACTTTTAGTTGTACACTCAGGAGAGCTTTTTCTTAATTTATCCCTGTAAGCCAGATATTTTCACCTTATTAGCCAAAAATGTCTTTTTTTTTCTAATTAATTGCTCTCTGGTAAGAGGACACATCTCTCTAAAGGACACTTTGGCTCTGCAACAAGTTGTTGTCTGTGATTATAATGCAGTGTAGATTATTGGTCACACAAATGGCACAAATCTGTGGCTGTGATGTGTGTGTATTTACATATGCTGTTGCAGCTGCGCTTCGGCAAGTGCTCAACCTCAGCAACCCACCCTCTGTCAAGAATGCAGAACCAGTTTGGAAGGTAGGTTGCCCTTTATACTCAACTAACATTTACCTCATGATCTTCTTTATTTATACTCAATTATATGGCAACGTGACTAAATCTAAATTATTCAAACGTCACAAATATTCCATTAATTTGGAATCGGTCTTGTTATCTTATTTTTCTAATCTATGATATCCAAATTTTGTACCTTATCTTTTATTCAATCTTTTTAAAATATCACTTCTGTTGATTTTGATGATGTCTGTGCTGGGGATATGTAGAGCTCATCGATGGTTGAGCCAATGCAGTTGATGATGTGGTTTAGGTTGAGATTTGCATTTGGCATATAGTAGGAAAACCTTGCAACCACTCTGGAAAGTCAGTGTTATAAATGACCAGACTTAAGTCTGGAAATTAAAAACAAATTTTAATTTGAGAGAAGAGACTTGATGCTTGTTCCATCTACCTAGATTTGAATGCTGACACCATTTGTTGACCCAGTTTCCCAAACAAGAGGCAAAGTTTCAGCACTAGCATCCACTGACAACAAGACAACCTATGGAGTCCCAGGATGGAAATATATTCAGTGAAACCTTGTTTATATTGTCAACCTGGTTGTTGCATCATAGTTCTAAAGTTCCAAGTTTTATATCTCAATTATTTTTACTGTTGTTATGACAACAAGATGGTTATAATAGCATAAAATCTCAAAGCAATAACGCGCCATTTATGTATATAAAATAAAAGAATTTAAGCATGGATGTTTTTTTTTATACACAGTACAAACTTATACTGTCCTTACTGCGATGAAAAAATATATATATTGGGAGGGCTTGGCTCATCAGTGGTGAACCTATTCATGCTTAAATTCTTTCATTTTATATATAAAATCTCAAGTGTTGTTACTGTAAACTGAAACTCTTTACCATATTTTTTTTCCCTTTATCATTATATTTCATAAATATATTACACCTAAAGAGCCTTACCTAAAATTATTCAAATTGTGAAGAAAGTTGTGGTGAATGAATGTAAAAGTATATATCAGCTGGTGTTGAAGTGATGGAGTGTTGTGGCAGGTGCTCATCTATGACCAGTGTGGCCAGGACATCATTTCCCCCCTCCTCTCCGTCAAAGACCTGCGAGAGCTGGGCATCACTCTGCACCTGTGAGTTGTCTCCTCCACTGTGGGCCATAGTCACCTCATGGGTGTGTGACTGCAGGTTGATCACAGCAGAACGAGATCCCGTGCCGGACGTGGCTGCGGTCTACCTGGTACAGCCCACAGAGGAGAATGTACGGCTCATCGCTAGGGATATGGAACTACACCTCTATGACAGCCTCTACCTCAACTTTATTTCCCCTGTGTCCCGCCAGCGACTGGAGGATCTCGCTAAGGCTGCCATTCTGTCTGACTCTACGCATTACGTCAAGAAGGTAAGGTGATTTTTTTTTGGTGAAATTTAAGGAGGGATCCCTTTAGTATCAACATTTCTAAGCTGTATAAAGTGACTGTATTTATTTTATATATAAACATACTTCTACCGTCCTTACTGCATTGAAGAAATATTGGGAGGGTTTGGTTCACTAGTGGTGAGCCCTTTCAGCGATTTCGCCAATTCAAACTACCAGACCACTTTTCATTGCAGTAAGGATAGTAGAAGTTTGTTTTATGTGCAAGGGCTCCTGATCCAGGGATACAAGATGAACATTGTTTGTACTCCATGTTAGGAGTGGCTGCACATGGCGTGTGTTCCTCATGTCAGAAGCTTTACAAGCTTGATACCCTAATATGATTGAGTGGAGATAAGAAATTCATGCTTTAGTGTTTTAATTTCTTATATATCGATGGTGCATTATTGGCTTATAATTAATGTATGTCACTCTGGCCAGTTCCTAGTTGAGATGGTCCACTTTATAGTAACTGAATCTATCCACTTTAGACCACTAGACTATCACTTTAATATACACAGTCTCAATATGTTTATATGGCATCAATTTTATACCATAGGAACTACTGTACATTTTCATACTCTCATGTGAAGATAAGAAATTCATGCAATTTCATTCCCATATGAAATACTCCACATTTACATACTCTTCTGTTTTAGTATCAGTTTTTTTTAGTCAAATGGAGAAATCAAATAACTGAAGTCAATAAACATCCCAGTTAGAGACAGCAATACTAACCAGCTGATAACATGCCATCTACATATAAGAAATGGAAGCACTAAAAAACGAATGTTTCTTTTAAATATAAAATAAACCTCTACTGTCCTTACTGCGATGAAAAAATATTGGGAGGGCTTGGCTCATCAGTGGTGAACTCTCCCAGCAGTTTCACCAATTTAATCTACCAGACCGCTTCTTAGAGCTCTATTACTGTATTGGATCATTCTGCTTATATATGCTGCAATGAAGGGTGAAATCTTAGAAATTGTTTTTAAGCAAACTATGGACATAAGCTTTTAGGACAGTAGAAATACATATACTTATTTGCATTGAGCAATGTTCTTCAATTCGCAAACAATAAGTGTAAGGCCAGTTAGGCATAATTAATTATAAGGTGATAATGTGCCATCTATATACAAAAAATGGAAGCACAAATATTTCTTTCAAATATAACCTTTTTGATCGCAGTAAGGACAGTAGAGGTTTGTTTTATATTTGAAAGAAACATTCGTGTTTCCATTTATTATAAATAGATGTGTTACCTTATAATTGGTTAGTATTTCTGTAGAGGGGTCAGTGGAAGGATGGTCTAAACCATTTGTTTTCGACCGTTACGACCCGGGTTCGATCCCCGCCTTGGGCACTTTTTTCTGTTAAAAAAAAAAATGCTCCAATGGCCCCCGATTCTTGCAAAAGTCCAAACCCACCAGCGAGTGCAAGTAACCAAACGGGGCTCTGACACATTTGTTAGTGCAAAGTCGAACTGCTATTCACATGTGTAGACATGTGGTGCACTTACAGTAAAAGCAGTCGCCTACTTCTACCCACCATGATTATCATGGTCTGTACCACATGTACTAGGGATAAGCAAAAAAAGTATTTCTGTCCCTAACTGGGATGTTTATTGGCTTCAGTTATTTTAAATCTCCATTTGACTTTTGAGAAAAAAAAAAAAAGTAATAATACTGTTACAATATACGATGGCACAGGTGGTAACAGGACAATACCACTTTGACCCAAATTTACATTTTTAACATGATGGCAGAATAGGGATGTGGAAAGGCTGAAATTTTATGTGCAAATAAAACCTCTAATTTGCCACCACATATTAGCAAGACTTTCAGGAAAACAACCCTTCTTCCTCCCAAAAGAGAATGCATTAAATTAGGCATTCCATTTTTAAAGAAAAATAACTTTTTCTATTTTTTTTTTCAACTGGAAATAAAGTTATCCAAGTTTGAGAGACATTTAAAATATAGTGGAGCCTTCTTGTAAACATCAACTTGGTTATAACATAATAATTCTAAACTCCCAAGTTTTAAGATAAGGCACAATTTGGATTATAGATTATAAACACAAGGTAATAAGACCAAATCCAAATAAATAAATAGTATGTGACATTTCGGTAACAACGCTGTTACCGAAACGTCACACACTATTTATTTATTTGGATTTGGTCTTATTACCTTGTGTTCCCAAGTTTTAAGTTATGAATGTTTTAACTATGGTTATAACAACCAACATGTTTGTGATCATAAAAACATAAAATCTTGGTCCCAAGTGATGTATTGTTATAGCAATTTGACTTAAAAAATAATTGCATAATACAGTCGAACCTCTTTAATTCAACACCCCAAGGGATAAGAGCTTTCGGTTGAATTAAAGGAAGTGTTGAATTAAGGTTAGATGATTAGCTAATCATCTAACTCACAAAAATAATATTTTAAAAAAAATTGCTTTGTAATATAAATTAATGATATTAATTGAAACCATTGTATGTATACTTTTTTGTATTTATTTTTTTATTTTGATGATTAACTTTTAGTATCAGGGACAAAATGGCAATAATACATATTTTTGAAACACATATAATTACAAATAAAATGTATTCTAATTGAAGAATATAGCAGTTGAAAGGAAATAAATATGTAAAATAAAAAGTAAATTTAAAAATAATATTTAAAAATAATCATGAATATCTTTTTAAAAATTCCTTTATAGATGTCTGCTTTTTCACTGAAATCCTATTAAAAATGTATTCCAGATGGTCTATTTAAA